GATAAGTCAATGGAGAAACAGTTTGGAGAAAGGTCAATGGGGAAACAGTTTGGAGAAAGGTCAATGGGGGAAACAGTTTGGAGAAAAGGTCAATGGGGAAACAGGTTGGAGAAAGGTCAATGGAGAAACAGTTTGGAGAAAGGTCAATGGAGAAACAGTTTGGAGAAAGGTCAATGGAGAAACAGTTTGGAGAAAGTTCAATGGAGAAACAGTTTGGAGAAAGGTCAATGGAGAAAACAGTTTGGAGAAAGGTCAATGGGGAAACAGGTTGGAGAAAGGTCAATGGAGAAACAGGTTGGAGAAAGGTCAATGGAGAAACAGTTTGGAGAAAGGTCAATGAGAAACAGTTTGGAGAAAGGTCAATGGAGAAACAGTTTGGAGATAAGTGAATGGGGAAATAGTTTGGAGAAAGGTCAATGGAGAAACAGTTTGGAGAAAGGTCAATGGGGAAACAGGTTGGAGAAAGGTCAATGGAGAAACAAGTTTGGAGAAAGGTCAATGGAAAACAGGTTTTGAGAAAGGTCAATGGAGAAACAGTTTTGGAGAAAGGTCAATGGAGAAACAGTTTTGGAGAAAGGTCAATGGAGAAACAGGTTGGAGAAAGGTCAATGGGGAAACAGTTTTGGAGAAAAGGTCAATGGAGAAAACAGTTTGGAGAAAGGTCAATGGAGAAACAGGTTGGAGAAAGGTCAATGGAGAAACAGTTTGGAGAAAGGTCAATGGAGAAAACAGTTTTGGAGAAAGGTCAATGGAGAAACAGTTTGGAGAAAGGTCAATGGAGAAACAGTTTGGAGAAAGGTCAATGGAGAAACAGTTTGGAGAAAGGTCAATGGGGAAACAGTTTTGGAGAAAGGTCAATGGAGAAACAGTTTGGAGAAAGGTCAATGGGGAAACAGGTTGGAGAAAGGTCAATGGGGAAACAGGTTGGAGAGAGGTCAATGGAGAAACAGTTTGGAGAAAGGTCAATGGGGAAACAAAGTTTTGGAGAAAGGTCAATGGAGAAACAGTTTGGAGAAAGGTCAATGGAGAAACAGTTTGGAGAAAGGTCAATGGAGAAACAGTTTGGAGAAAGGTCAATGGGAGAAACAGTTTGGAGAAAAGGTCAATGGAGAAACAGTTTGGAGAAAGGTCAATGGAGAAACAGTTTGGAGAAAGGTCAATGGAGAAACAGTTTGGAGAAAGGTCAATGGAGAAACAGTTTGGAGAAAGGTCAATGGAGAAACAGTTTGGAGAAAGGTCAATGGAGAAACAGTTTGGAGAAAGGTCAATGGAGAAACAGTTTGGAGATAAGTTCAATGGAAGAAACAGTTTTGGAGATAAGCTGAATGGGGAAATAGTTTGAACAAAGGTCAATGGAGAAACAGTTTGGAGATAAGTCAATGGGGAAATAGTTTGGACAAAGGTCAATGGGAATCTAATCTGCTTGAATGCATCACAAAGTTCATAAAAGTCAAACATTGCCTTTGTACATTTTAAGACTAACCAAATAAAAATAAAAATCTTGCTAGTTTTAACAATTTAATTAGAATTTAAAACAAGCATCTCAAGCATAATTTTTGTAAGATTATTTTGTATAAATCATTTGTATAATTCTCTGTTAACCATGACCTTGCCCTTATATGTTTGTATTATAGATAGAAATGGCTATAAATGTTGTACATAACATTTAATGCTGAATAAATATAATGTTATGTTATGTTAAAATGGAATTTTAAAGCAAGAAAGCTAAAATGTGTAGATCTATTTTTGGATAGTCTGCAATCCGAAGGTGTGATTTCGTAATATAACATAAACAAAACTAATTGTTTCGTAAACATTGTAATATGAAAACTATATAATATCAATTTGAATAAACTTTTTACAATTATGAAATCAGTAAATGAAAAATCTCGTCTTCGTGCAATTATTTTTATAGAACCATTATACAAGCATAATGTTTTTTTTTCTCTCAATGACTGGTGGAATGTCCTTTGCTGTTGAATACCTCATTCACATTTTCACAGACATACGGGTTTACAACTATGTAAAGATTTCCCATATGGCACAGATGTTCACTTCCATGCATCTGTCTAACCAATCCTTCGCAAAAAGGACTTGTCACACATATGCCGCCATCTTCAGAATAAAACATAATATGGCCTCTTGACAAGATTGGTGATCACGTGACAATTGTTTACGCTTCTACGATAACATAGAGTCATCGCTTATGGCCTTGACTATGACTTGGAAGGTATTTTCTGATGTACCATTATATCTTTCAGTACATGTATTTGAATAATAAACAAATACCATGTTCCAAATTTAAATGGTACATACATTTCAATTGTAGCTCCTTTACTTTTCCCGTTGCAGAAAATTGTTCCTTTCGTTACTCCATTTTCACGCCTTTTGTATTAATTTTGTTTTATAATTGGCATCTGTTCCTTAGCTTTATCATGTAGATTATATATTAATACTTTAAACTGATATCTACTTTATGTGCCATATACATTTATAGTATATACAATTGATTTAAACATGTTTCTATGATTAAATTTATGTTGTTTATTTCGTATATCATGTGTGAATACTTTAATAAATAAATAAATAAATAAATAAATAAATAACTAACTTTCATTCATTATATATTGTGATCGCAATCTCGTGTTCATTTTCACTTATTTTTTAAGCTCAAATGGCCCTTTATTTCGTGGACTTGACAACTTGAGAATATCAGCTCGAGAGCTTCAAATTTCACAAAACAAACAAATTGCTTCTATATTATACAACGAATCCCAAAACCAGCGATATACATTCCCAAAAATGATACAAAAACGCATTCGTGCGAATACGTATTTTGCCAATTCTGTGCTCAATATTTTCATACCTAGTTTTACTTTCATGACCTTTATATCGCTTTGGCGTTTAAATTGAAAGAGACAGAGACTTGGATAATAATCGATGTCTTTTTGAGAGATTTACTTCTAACTTTTCACTTTATTACTTACTACTGGTTGACTGTTGAATGTGATTAACAAATATTTAGTAATCCAAATAACAGCAGTCGGTAGACAGTAATAATAATAATAATTATAATAATTTAAGATAATAAACATAAGGCAGTTGATATTAAATAGTAAACAGATTGTAACTTGGTAGTGCATATATCTAAAACAGTAACATTAGGTAGTTGATATTAAATAGTAAACAGTTTGTGGTACATATATCCCAAACAGTAGATACTAAACATTAGACAGCAGAGAGTAATAATAAAGCGAATATTAGACAGTAAGCAAGCAGTAAAATGAAACAATAGATAACAAGAAAAGCATTGATGCAAAGCTTCAAAGGGCGTCCAAGCAAGAAATGCAGCAAGTGAAGATGAACTAGTAGACATATGATGACAAGATATTCTTATAAACTTTTCAATGGTTTTTACCAGAATTTTATATCACTTATGAATGAGTGGACGAAAGACATTGTTCATTATGAACTTTGATTGGCATGCTAGAGATTAGAATATTACTTGTTATTTCTTTATGACCGTGGTTATTAATAGCAACGGATTTTGTGTGTTTGCGTTTGTTTACCCTCGCCACTGGAAAGAGACCATATGGGCGAGCAATGGATATACATGTATACAATCATTTATAATCCATATGTGTAACGCATGATCAACACCACACTTGTGTAATTGTCACTTATTATGTTATCGCTATTAGCGAAGACTCCCTCTTAAGGTATCTATTCACACTTAGTAAAAATATGGCACTGGTTATATTACCATGTTGATCATGTTGAGCATAATTGTTTATTATACAATAATTGTAATATCTATTAATTTTGATAAAAAAATTACAGATTTTATGAATATTGTTTTCTTTTCTTTTTTGTGTTTTATGTGCTATTTTATGTTTACTTACTTTTTTTAATTTAAATTGTAAAATAAATTTTAAGAATTCAATTGTCATATTGACCGACGATTATAGGTAAAAAATTAACTGGAAAAAGGTTAGTAAATAATGGTTAATCTTTCAATATATAATATTGTTTATTCTTATATTCTTAAACCATGTACATTTGTATTTTTCTTTATCATTTTTTAAATTATCAATCAATTGAATAATTCATAAAATCTAATTTGTAACTTTGAATAATTCCTCGTCATCTTTACTAACCACGAATAACAAATTAAATAAAATGTTTCAAAGTTGATAGTGTCATATTAATACCATAAAAATGTACCTTTTTTCTCAATTATTGTACATATTTATTGTTTTTATCTCATAAAGATAAAATGAAACATGCTATTGTTGTTGTTCTTGTTGGTTTTTTCTCCGAATTGTATGTTTATGTATAAAAATAATCAATAAATTTGAGAGTTGATCTGTGTTCATTAATTATTGTAACCAAATTAACTGACAAACATTCATTTTGGAAAAAAAAGCTTATTTACCTGTAAATTATTTGTTCTGTTCTGTAACGATATCAAACATCTACTCCAAAACCGGGAGAGACCGGACAATAAACGCGTGGTACTATTCGCCGGTCACTAGTAAGTCCCGGTCAAAATAGACCGGGAGAGACCCGGAATTACCGATAGGAGCACATCCCTCTATAAATAGATTTTCGGAATATTTAGGTCATCAACTCATCATTCTATTTACAGCTTTCGGATAAATGTACAACAATAACATACCATAATAATCCACTGTGTAAATTAAAAAAAAAACGAAGAGCGCGATTTATTGACGGAAAAGGTCATTTCATTTGAAAATGTTTGCAAGTTCGCTATTCATTGTACCACGGATTAATTAATAATCAAGCACCTTCATACCGATCGGAATGATCGACTTTTATTATGACCGACTAAAAGGCTCGAGAAGTTGCTGTCGCCCTTTCACAAAATCTGATTTCATTCCATAAAGGGGCGCTGCGCTTCGGCGCGGACGCCAAAAAATATGAAAGATACACGAGCAATGTGTTTGATTCTAGTTTATAAATAAAGTCAGAACTAAATATTGTAATCCAAAGGTTTAATGCAGACAACGTAAGTGAGAAAGGGCACGTATGTATATGTTTTACATATTATTAGGCCAAAAGCTAAGTCAATAAGCTAGATACTTAACAAAATGTAAAGACGTGATATCGTTTAAATGGGGAAATATATTGAATATATAAATGATGAAAATGAACACAAATTATCGAACAGAAAAAAATATTTTTCACAGTCTCAACAGTTTATAAGTTTATTTATGCAATATCTATAGCATGATATTTGTGTAATTTGTTGTAGAAGATTTATTTTGTCTGCTACGCTAAATTGTCTTTGAATTATCTGCAAAGAAAAAAGAGAATAAAATAATACTAGGTGTGTTTCATAAAACATAACGCACTTGTACTCGCTTAATTATTCGCTATGCAATTGGCATTATACAGTTAGTACTGGTAAATTGAGACCGTATTAATACATTGTTTACAACTAACTACCGATTATATAAAAGATGATTAAGCAATAAAAATATACAATAAACGTTTTGAAGGATTAAGATGTTCCTATCTCCTTCTTATGTAGGAGTGTCAGCGGTTGTCTCATCTGTAATTATTTCCTTTCTGTCATCGGCAAAAGCATCTTGATGACCAAGCAAGCATTCATCTTGAATAAAGAAACGTATTAATGATAAAAAATATGAAACAGATAGAACATAATTCTTAATTTCTTGCTACTCAACGTTGCGGGTTCGAATTCCGTCCGGGACTTTTGATTATTTCAGATAGTTTAATAGAAGGTCAGGTGTGCTAGCTAGACACACATTCGTCAATCATTTCAGACACATGCGGCCTGTTTCCTTCACCAGTAAAGCATGAAAGTCCACGTATGAGTCAATTCAGATTTCAACAAAACCGTCACAAGCAAAGGAACGACTTAAATGAGTTCTCGTTTATTAAGAGTAATTTTTTCAAGTTCCATGTTTAATTGTTTCATCGGATTCTACCAGTCCTTTTCGCAAACTTTCGTTCTTACTCAAATTTAACTGTCTCCTTTTTTGTTTTGTTCCCTTTATCATTTATTTAAGTGTTAATTAATTATTTGCATAACAGATAACTTTACTTACGTGCATCTGCTGCCGCTTCTGCCAATGCACACACTATTATTTTTACCTCTGCTTGTTCTAAAAATGACGAGCATCACAGACATGTTTAATCTCTTTTGAATTAACGAATAAGTAAAATGAAAGTTAACTGTAACAACTTCAGATTATTGTATAATCAAACGATAGTATTTTAATATAAAATAGTGCCTCAGTAAATCTATTTTAAATTGTTTTTTACTTGTATTATATTATGAATTATTAATGTAAATTTGGACAATAAATTTATGAACTCTGTTAGATTTTTACTCTTAGTCAACACTAAATACACTGAAAAAACTAAAACTTACCACGTTTTCGACTGACATCTGGAGCTAAATCTGGATCAGTTTCTTGTTCTTGTTTCTTTTGTTCTGGCAAAATTGGTATTATAAAACTCTTTAAAAGTAAAATTTCTCTTTTAAATCTAATGATAAATATAAGCGCGTAAAACGTAAATCATAATTCACGAAACGAATAATAAATGTTGTATTATGTTACTATTTGTAACAGATACTTAATGTGTACAGTAACTGATACTTAATGTATACAGTACGTTATACTTGTTTTCAGGTGGACGTGTACGAGTACAAAAGCAAAGAATTGAAGATACTTGACCTCACTAGAAGACGAAAGTACTCGATATCCATCTAAATATGCATTGTTTATTTTTATATGTTTATTTGTTTATATTTATATTTAGAATGTATTGTATTTTTTTTATTAAGTAGAACAAATAATAAGATAATCTAAAAAGAATGGAAAGAATACCAGATTTTCATACCTACATGATTATGAATTGTGTTCAAAAATAATTCGCCGCATTCGCCCCCAATGAAAACCTTTATCTTGTCAATAAATCCTGAAAAACATAAATATAAATATAAGATATTTGATATCAAAATTTGAGTTTTGCTATTCATTTTATTTGTACAGATCGCATATATTGCACACTATTTCTATTCCTAATAAAATTGTTCACAACTCGGGATGTGAGTGGACGAATGGTTAAGTTCAAACCATTTACTAGTCACTGCTAAAAATTCGAGCCGCGCAAGCGTCTTTGCACTCTTCAAGAGAGCTAGCTTACGGAACGTCGTTGGTTCTATTCAGGTGCCTGTTCGTGCCTGAAATAACACACGGGAACACGGGTTTTTTCCCCACCAGTTATGCGAGAAATTCGCTAAATGGCCTATACTGTGTTGGTGCGACACTCCTATTGATCATGAAAAAATATGTCCATTCTTTTTTGTATGACAAAAGAAAATCTTTTAAGAATCAGGTTTCTTTCTTTAAAATAATTTTAAATCTTATTTGTTATCCGTTAATAAAGTGAATTCGGAAACTTGTTTAACAATTTTGTATGTCTTGCCATAAACTAACAGAAAACTGAAGATAAAAAAGAAAAAGAAAAGGCACACTAAGAGGAAAAGTTTCAACAACAAAGAATTTAAATTTTGCTTACTATATACAATACACAATACCTCAACACCTTCATTTATATAATCAATATGAATAGGGTCGTCAATAAAAGCTTTTTGAGCAATCGTATATAATTTATTTGTCTCACCTCCAACTTCGTGTGACCAAGGCCAAGGAAATCTTCGTTCAAGATCTTCCAGTGCTTCGGTTTGTCCAATCTCTTGTGTTGCCCCTTCTCCTGGATCCCTTTTCATAAGGTAAAAGACAAGAATTAAGATCAACAAGGCAAAGGCAGCGTTCAAAGGACGCAGCCCCCGACACACCAAAGTAGGACACTCAGAAGGCACCAAACCAAAACTAGAGTGGACATAAGGGCGGTGCAAGGAGAGGGACATGTAATGTGTGAAATAATATAAACTAAAACGGGCCCATATGGGATTTAAAGGGTAAGGCTTTTTCCCTGTCCCCTCAAAGTCCCGTTTGAACAATACTTCCATGTGTCTATTAGATATATAATCATCATCAGTTCATATTATCGCAATAGATATATGAATTAAAATAATTTAAGACATACGTTATAGTTTAATATAGATATAATATATATAGGCATACAGAAAACTGGATGTAGAATACGTATCTAAAATATGAAAATAGAAATATTTTAACAGAGAACTTGAAATATGTGCAGAAGACATGGCTGCCCCCGCGTAACACTGTTTTTTCTTCACGAAAAATCTGTACAATTTCTTGTGCATATTAACATAGCAGGTACATATCACACAAATCTAAAATACTCTTTTTTGCCAAAGGGGCAAAACTTTGGTGATTATCAATAAACTTTACATCAAAATACACGTGTAAAGAGTCTCTCGATGACAGCTATTCTTATAAAGTTACAGGCCTCTAGCTATAGTGGCCGGTTGTTGCAATTTTAAATCCTCGAGAAATTGTATCCTTATGTTACATAATTTCGCGGGCAAGCTTTTTATGCCGAATTCGTACAAACTTTCGCTATATATCTTAAACGGAGGTGGTGGCTGATCCTGGTCTACATCGTTAGCATTGATGACAGATTCAGTTGCCGATTAAAAGCTAAGAACATGACCGTTTCGTTTCATCAAATTAAACCTCATAAAAAATTATCCATATTGCTGTGATTGCAGCATCTTTGAAACTTACATTGCTACAGTCTAGGGTAAAAAAGAAGGAAAATATTAGATATACACAATCAATAGGCTGTCGAAATTGTAAAGCATTATTCTATTTTCACTCCTCACTGAATCATCCACTTAAAATTTTGACAACATGCCGCATCATGTTATGTTGTTGTTTCTAGTTGATAAATAAACTCTGAACTAAATATTCTAATCCAAAAGTTTAATGCAGACAACGAAAGTGAGAAAGGGCATGTATGTATATGTTTTATATATTATTTGGCCAAAAGCTAAGACAATAAACTAGATACTGTAAAATCATCATTATTCGTGGGGCACGAATGTTCGTTGTTTTCGTGGGTACGTCAATCCACGAATTTAAAATCCGACGAAATTTTATCCCAACAAATACTTCTTGCCATATCTCTATTATATATATTACAAACATGCATCGGCGCTTTTCTGCCGATTTTTGTGTAATGAATGCCAAGAGGCAAGGATTAAATATATTGCCAAGCGCTGTGTGATACGTAAAGATATGTACATGGGGTAAGTAAAATGCGTGGCGAGTAAGTGTAAGACAACTTTGCATTAGGTTATTGTTTTTATTTTCTTTACAAGAAATTGAAAATCCACAAATTTAAGAACCATGAACATGCCCGTTTTGATAAAACCACGAAATTTCATGCCCACGAATATAAATGAATTCGCAAAAAAGCTAACCAATAATCTGGAAACTTAACAAAAGACGTGATATCGCTTAAAAATGGGGACATATATTGAATATATAAATGATGAAAATGAACACAAGTTATCGAACAGGAAAAAAAAATCACAGTCTCAACAGTTCATAAGTTTAATTTTACAATATTTGAAGCATGATATTTGTGTTATTTGTAGTCGAAGGTGTATTTTCTGCAACGGTTCCTTCGTCTTTGATTTATCTGCAAAAAAGGAGAATTAAATATTACTGGGTTTGATTAGTCATACATAGTGCATTTGTATACGCTTAAATATTCGTTATGCAATTGGCGTTATACAGTTAGTATTGGTAAATTGTGAACGTATTAATACATTGTTTGCAACTTATTATCAATTATATAAAAGATGATTAATAAATAAATGTCCACGAACAAGATTGAAGGTTTAAGATGTTTACAATCACTTTGAACCATGACAAAGTGTTGAAGTGTTTTCTTTTCTTCTTTCTAACATGAAAATAAAGAATACACCAGTCAAAATTTGTTGAAACCTTTAAAATAATAACTCCTGTTTTCAATTTAGCATACGTTGAAGATTAAAGTGATCATGTGAATAATATAAGGTTATACACATATTTCAAGATGTTTTTATTTATATTTAAGATAAAAAGAAAATGTGTAAGTTGTCAACTTTTAATTCCAATCTCCTTGTAATGTAGCCTTCCTCGAAAACACAGGAGTGTCCGTGGTTGCCACATCATCAACTGTTTCCCTTCCGTCCCCAACAAAAGCATCTTGCTGACCAAGCAAGCAATCATCTTGAAGGAAAAAACGTTTTAATGATAAACAATATATAACAGGTAGCATACAATTTTTAAATTACTTGCTACTTAGCGTTGAGCGTTCGAATTCCGTCAGGGACATTGGATTCTTTCACATACATTTATTGAAGGTCACCTTTATGCATCATATCAGAATATAAGAAACAAGCGGGCACTGTCCTCCACCAGTAAAGCTTGAAAGTCAATAAATGAGTCGGTGTAATTTAAAATTTAACAAAATCATCACAAGTAAAATAACGACTTAAATGAGCTATTGTTTATTTAGATAATATGAATTTATTATGTTACTAAGTTTCATGTTGATCGGACCCCATTAATCCTTTTGCATTTTTTTTATCTTACTACATGTACGATTTAACTGTCTTTTTATTTTTTCCTGTAATTTATTTGCATTGCAGATTACTTTACTCACGGGCATCTGCGGCCGCTACTGTCAATGCATCCAATAATATTTTTGCGTCCGTTTCTTCTTCTTTTGCTGAAATGGAACGCTTTCTAAATTTCTAAACTGAAATCATATTACTATCATATTGAAAGCAATAGTTAAATGACGGCAAGTGATGTTCTCTCTGTAACTTTGTACAGTTAAATACAACTCAAATTTAACTGTCATGTAATATAGAACTCCAAATCACTATTTGCAAAATGTAGTGTTAAACCTATACGGCTTGAGACCGGAAAATATTAAATCCTAGCTACTGAGGACAGAATTCACCAAACTGTAAACCAGGGGTGTGACATTGTTAGGACTAGTATTCGTAGGATGGCTGATCGTATGGGTAAAAACCCCGTCAGGGGCAAGACGTTGTTTCCGTGAGCAAAACACTTTACACTCATTGCTTGGTACTAGTTGGTTCTAGGAAGGGATCCAAGGGCGCTCCAGGAAGCTTATACCTTCTGACACAATCGAACTACAATAATTTAGTATAAACTAAATTACATGCATTGACACAATGTTTATCTTATGAATCACTAAGAACGTATATATTAAATAACAAAGTTATGTTTATTGCAATCTCTAACGTAGATTGGTCTACAATTGACATATTTTCTAGCAGTATTTCTAAGTTTGATAAAACAAAAACAAAAAAAACCCAAAAAAAACAAAAAAAGTCTATAATTCGAATATTCTAATGAAATACTGCTTGAAAAAATAATTAATACAATTCTAAATGATTTAGTATGAATTTTTATATAAAAAATAATAATATTTTGTATTAGGACATTTTATTATTTGATATATAGATTGATCTTTTGTCGGATCATCTAGGTCACATTTGTCAAACTTCCATACATAAAATTCTTTAATGGTTTGTCGTTATGTCTGATACTAAATTCTATGGAAATATATATTGTAATTATCTTATGTTTTACTGACCTAACATTTTAAATAAATTTACTTCAAATTCTGAAATTGCTAAACTAAGTGCAAAATACTATTCATTTATCTTTTTAACTTCGGTACGACACTAAATGGTTTTCATTCCTTTCAAGAACATTTTTTTATAACTTTTAAAGACTTTAACGTGTAATTTAAAGTTAACACGTGGAGAATCACGCCGTTCGTTACCCAAACAAACAAGATGGCGGATGCAGCCAAAAAGTAATTTTTCCCTTTTCTTCTCTGAAATTCGTAATGTTCTAGTGTTAAGGTACATATAACAACCTTTTTCACAATTTTCCGGGCACACAGGATTTTATTTCATGATGTTTTGTCCGGTACTTCATCTGAAATGCGCGTCACCAGATTGGAAGCGAGAGAATTTTCTACCGGTTTAATCGTGGTAACGTACGGCTTCTTCTCTAAAATTCACTGTTTCGTTTACATATACATGTATGTATATTAACTGAAACCACTGACTTTAAAAAGTTGTAATATCATCTAAGCGTCCATGCCCATTCTGACTAAGATAACCGCTGTAAATATTCATATGGGGGCATTTCCGGGAAATAATAACGTATGGCGCACAAATATCAATGATAACGTCCGGCGCATTTTTCTGCAGAATAGAGTTTCTATATATCTGTTAGTTTTGGATAGAAAAGTTATGTTTCTTGCTCAGGTCTTTCCAGACATAAGAGAATGTGTAGAACCAAATAAAGAAACTGAATATTATTTAGTGTTTGCATTATAACATCTGTCCGGATAGAAATATCTAAATTCGATATGTAATCATGATTAATATGCTTTCTTGCATATCATACTCGAAATAGAGCAGCTATCCCACTTTTTGTGGTTTGTAAAGTGTCGTCAAAAGTTAAACTTGATCCCAAATTTCAAATATCTATGTGTTAGTGTTCATCCGTGCTGTTCTACAGAAATTAGAAACTTCGACGGGAGCGATAGCGATCGAAGAATGTTTCTAATTTCTGTAGAACAGCTACGGATGAATACTAAGATACTTAGTGTCAACCTTTATTTGGCTTCATAAATATTTACTTTATGACGTCTCTATACCTAATTTTACGAACGCGGTTCTATCAAGCACTATGAAAAATAGAAGGCTTCTATCAACGGATTTTAATATAGTATCGACTTTTGTTCTTCCATCAAAATTGACACAAAGAATTTTTAAGAAATACAGCGTTTTCATTGGATGACAAATAAAACTGGACACTAAATAAGCGTCCAACTTTATTTGTCATCCGATCGAAACGCTGTATTTCTTCAATATTATGTGTGTTAATTTTCATCGATGATATATCAAATTTCGTTCATAGTCGTCCTCTATTTGTCACAGTTCTTCATATAACCGCGTTTGTAAAAAAAGTCATTTGCATCACAGACACTTGGGGTGTGGAGCTTAAAACGCTTTTTAAATCTAAATAAAATTTATATTTGTACGTATATATTGCACATAAATAAAATATTTTACCCATCATAAAATGTCTATACTACATCACTTAGAGCTTTATAAACATTTTCTTTTCAAGCAATATTTCATAAGAATATACAAATAACACATGTCTATTGTTTTTTTTTTTATAAAATCTGGAAATGTTGCTAGAAAATGTGTCCACTGTAGACCTATACTTTTTAACCATATCCTGTCTGTACGATTATGTAACTAGTATAAAGGACTAAGATAACAAATGTTTAATCCCTCTTGAATGAATGATTGAATGAATGAATGAATGAATTAAAAAGTAAAGTACAACAATTTCAGATTATTGTGTTCTTAAACGATAATATTTCAATATAATATAGTGCCACAATCAATCTTTTTCAAATTGTTTTTTACCTGACTGTATCATGTTATAAATTATGTAATTTGAATTGAGACAATTAACTTATGAACTCAACAATAAAGACACTGTACAATGTAAAACGTACCACGTTTGCGGCTGACCCCTGTAGCTAAATCAGTATCAGTATATTGATCTTCTTTCTTCTTTCCTGGCAATATTGGTATGATAAAACTTTTAAAGAGTTCAATTTCTATTTAACACACAGACACAGTGTTTATGATAAGCACGTTTAACATAAATCATAATTCACGAAACGAGCAATAAATGTTCTATAACAAATTTAATATTATTTGTAACGGACTACCTAACGTGTAAAGTACGTTTTACTTGTTAGCAGGTGAACGTGTACGAGTACAAAAGCAAAGAATTGAAGTCACGTGACCTCACGCAAAGTCGAAAAATCTCACAATTCATCTCTATATGCATTGTTTATCAAATGTTTTGTATTTGTTTTTTTATCAAACAAAACAAAAAATAAAAGAAATAAAATGAGAACGGAAAGAATACCAGATATACATACCTACAAGACCATAGTATGTGTTTTTAAATAATTCGCCGCAATCGCCCCCAACGAAATCCTTAATGTGGTGAAGTAAAGCTAAAAAAAATATATAAATATTAAATTTTTAAATTTGAATTTTGGCATTCAGTTAATACGTACAGCTTGCATATATTTCACAATGTTTCTTGTTATTAAAGATCTTTACACAAGCCGAGGCGTAAGTGGCCGAATGGTTACGTTCGTTGACTTCAAACCACTTTTAAACAACAAAAAATTTAAATTTTGCTTACTATATACAAAAAAACAATACCTCAATATCATCATTCATATCTTCATTATGAATAGGGTCAGCAACAATAGCTAAGACATATTTTGGTTTTGAACAATAGCATTACAATGTCGTCAACGTGATCAACGCCGCCTACGTAATGAAGATTAGATAACGATAAGCCGCACTGACGATTCGTGCCACTTTAGCAATCATTTAAAACGTCCTTTATGTTATCAAAATTAATAAATGGTAAGATTAATGTTTCTTTTAGTATATTTGTGAAATAAAATGTTCTCTGTATCTAACTTTAAGAACAGAAATTGATCATTTTAACTGTAAGGTTATCAATATTAAAATTGAGAACGATTCGCCCCACTTAAATAATCATTATGACACTATGTTCTAAAACATTTTCCTTTAAAAAGGTTTAAGTTAGATAATATTATTTGCATTTGCTGATCAAAATAAATTCTTCAAGTTGGTGGTATGCATCCAGATCGATACCGCATCTTCTTAACCCTTTCGCTGCCATAGGGACGGCTTAAGCCGTCCCTGTTATTTTCGGCGTATTTGCCATATGGACGGCTTTAGCCGTTTCTATAATAATAATAGTTATAATAATAAATTAATAATAATTATCATAAAAATAATAATAAATATAAAGAAAATTATACCATCGACAATAATTATTATTTATACTAACAGATTTGGAAAACATATATAATTATTATAATACTAATAACAAATAATAATAATTATATTCAATTAATAATATAGTAATTTCTTAGAAATCCCTCTGGCAAATAGCGTGAACAATAAAACAATAACCCTCTGGCAGCGAAAGGGTTAATATCTATAAATTTATATTTTTAGACAACGACAAAATATTTATGTAAGTGTACATAGAATGACTTCAAAATACAATAATAATGTACAACAATCCGCTTTAAATAACGACGATTAGGGTTCAGTCCGTCTTAAGGGCGAATTACCCTATGTGCAACTGAAACAATTATCACTTATAATGTGCACAACAATCCGTAACGAAAATTAGGGGTCAGTCCGTCTTAAAGGCGAATTACACTATAATATGAGTTACTGAAGCAATTATCACTTATTTATAACATTAATCTAATCTATTAATTATAACTCTGAAAGTTAGATTAAACTATACAAATGAGATAAGTAATTGTTAGTTCTATTAAACTGATATTTGTTTCATATTCTACCTCTGAATCAACTCTTATCTAGAAAAATATATACCAAATCAATTAAAAAAAAAACCCAAACCATAAATAATTTTCAATGCAAATGAATTTAAAAAAGAATACAAGGTGGGGCAACTTCACTTAAGTGGGGCAAATCGTCACTTAAGTGTGACGAGTCGTTACGGGGCGAATTGCCATTGGAGCGGATCGTTTTATTACTTTTTTGAGACGTTTCTCCATTTTTGTTTGACCAAGACGTTTCTCTTTCAAAATCTGCCAGTGCTTGGGTTTTTCCTCTCTCTAGTGTTGCTCCTTCCGGATCCCTCTTCATAATGTAAGGCACTTTCCCTTTCCCCTCATAGTCCTTCTTCATAATGTAAGGCACTTTCCCTTTCCCCTCATAGTCCTTCTTTATAATGTAAGGCACTTTCCCTTTCCCCTCATAGTCCTTCTTCATAATATAAGGCACTTTCCCTTTCCCCTCATAGTCCTTCTTTATAATGTAAGGCACTTTCCCTTTCCCCTCATAGTCCTTCTTCATAATGTAAGGCACTTTCCCTTTCCCCTCATAGTCCTTCTTTATAATGTAAGGCACTTTCCCTTTCCCCTCATAGTCCTTCTTTATAATATAAGGCACTTTCCCTTTCCCCTCATAGTCCTTCTTCGTTTGGTTAGGAACTTTCCCATAGTAGTCCCGTTCGAACAATGCTTCCATAAGTCTATTAGATAAATAAATATCAACAGTTAATATTCTAGCAAAAGATTTATAACTTAAAAGTTTAATACGTTACAGTTTTTATACAAATATAAAGGCAGAATGAAAACTGGATGTAGCAAAGTATCTAACAGTACGATGATAGAAACATTTTAATTGAAAACTAGAAATGTGTGCATAAGACAATGTTCCCCCATGTTCCAATGCTTTGCCACGAAAAATCTGTACAATTACTAGCGCATATTAACATAGCAAGTACACACGACACAAATCTAAAATGTTTGTTTTTGCCTGGCAAGAGGGCATAACTTTGTTAATCTTCAAAAAAAACTTACGTCAAAAACACATTTTCTTTCGTTGACAGCTGTTCTTAGAAAGTTGCATGCCTCTTGTTATGGTGGCCGGTTGCGGCCATTTCAAAACACGAGAAATAAAAATATGTCGCAGGCAACTTAGAAACCCCCACGATTTTATGCCGAAACCGTACAAAATGTCGCGGAAACCTATTTACCGGCGTTTTACAAGGTATGCAGCAAATATTGCTAATTATAATGACCGCAATCGGATACCTTAAGAAGGCATAGGCTTGTATGGCTTAGTCTACTATGTAGTCAGAAAATGTCGCGGTTTCTTTGTAAAATTTGACTTTTTATGACAGAAGTTTGGCAGAAAACTCAAGAGAGCGACGCGCCGTTTTATACAATTTCGACACAAAGTCTGGTAAATTCAAAAGTGACCCTCTACATTTTATAAACTGACGGTAGATTTTCTCGCGGCTTTAACGTGGACGCTATCGGCCACCATATCTAGCAGATATACTGGTATTTCTGGTATAAACTGGAAACACGTCTATAATTGTCCCAAATACATTTGCGTCAAAACACCTGGAGAACTATTATCAGATTTATCGATCTAGCAGTTACAGTTACAAGTGACAGGATTCTAAACATCTTATTTTGTGCTTAATCAGAAGGTGCGGGGTTAGGGTGTCCAATAGATTGCTAAAACCACGGTCTGTCTAAATTAAGTCACAGCGTGAAAGCTTATCAAATGGACGGTCAAGGATAAAATTAAATCTGCACCGATCCTCTTCAAATTCACACACGGTGAGGAACTATTACACGGAGGATGTATACAACTCCATCTTCCGTGTAACAGTTCTTCCCCCATGTCATTGGCTCTAAACAATGCCATGCACATGTATTTGAAACTAAAGCGTACGCCATCAAAGCAATTTACCTCTAGATTCACGTTTTTTATGAAAATCTAGACGTTTGGAGTTACTTAACTATTGTCAAGTGAATAACGAAATGGTGTGAGGCAATCAAATCTCCTTACAATCTTTAGAGAATATATAGTGCGTTAAAGTCTGCAGAATTAAACCGTTCTCTAGTAATTATGTGATAGAAATATTGAGGAAATATTGAGAAAACAACACATATTGCAGATTGAGCCTTGATTTACAAATACCATCCGAAATGTCACATGGATAAGGAATACTTTCACAATAGGTATTTTGCTGTTAGCTTTATTTGAAAATAAAAGCCAAATCATTTTTAATCTCTGCTGGTTTGTTTTAGTCTCGGTAATGAAAAACTATATTTAAGGGAGCGATCGCCTAGTGACAAAGGTGTCTGCTTCTCAACCCAGAGATAATGAGTTTGAGCCCTACTCGGGTCATGGCCATGTTTCTTTATATGACATCAGTACTGGTTGGTTCCGGGAAGCGGACTCGAAAGTGATTAATGTGAGTTGCAAAAACTTGTTTCGCAATCGAGCTTAAATAAATATGTTTAAACTAACTATATTTAAAGGTTTGGTTAAACTGTAAGTGCATGCACTAAACAACACGAATTAGTAAAACATCAAACTTTTTACTTACAATTCTCGTGTAATATCAGAGAGATCCAGATGTCTCCCTTGTACCATGACAACACACAATGCCAAACACGCAAGAATCTTTAGATCAATAATCATATTTGAATGTATTCAACGATCTATAAAAGAAAATACAATGCATATTTATAATTATACAGTGTATGCATAGAAATGAATGTAAAATTCTACGAAATTGTGTCGGCAATCTCGATTAAATAATGATGTCGGCACTCTCAATTACATAATGGTGTCGGCGATCTCAACTGCATGATGGTGTCGGCGACCTCAACTGCATAATGGTATCGGCGATCTCAACTGCATAATGGTGTCGGCGATCTCGATTACATAATGGTGTCGGCGATCTCAATTGCATACTGGTGTCGACAATCTCAACTAAATAATGGTGTCGGCACTTTCGATTACATAATGGTGTCGACAATCTCAATTAAATAATGGTGTCGGCAATCTCAATTAAATAATGGTGTCGGCAATCTCAATTAAATAATAATGTCGGCGATCTCAATTAAATAATGGTGTCGGCAATCTCAATTAAATAATGATGTCGGCAATCTCGATTACATAATGATGTCGGCAATCTCGGTTACATAATGATGTCGGCGATCTCAATTGCATAATGGTGTCGGCAATCTCGATTAAAAAATAGTGTTGGCAATCTCAACTGTATAATGGTGTCGGCAAACCCTTAGGCCATTATGCACATCTTCGGGCCACTATCGCATAATGGCGAGCAGCAACCAAGTATTAACTTCAAAATAATGTCGGCGATCTCAATTACATTTTGGTGTTTGCGATGTCGTTTACATAATGGTGTCAGCAATTTCAATTAAATAATGATGTCGGCAATCTCGATTACATAATGGTGTCGGCAATCTCGATTACATAATGGTGTCGGCAATCTCAATTGCATAATGGTGTCGGCAAACCCTTAGGCCATTATGAACATCTTCGGGACATTATCGCATAATGGCGAGCAGCAACCAAGTATAAACTTCAAAATGATGTCGGTGATCTCAATTACATAATGGTGTCTGCGATGATGTTTACATAATGGTGTCGGCAATCTCAATTAAATAATGATGTCGGCAATCTCGATTACATAATGGTGTCGGCAATCTCGATTACATAATGGTGTCGGCAATCTCGATTCCATAATGGTGTAGGCAATTTGGTTAAATTATGGTGTCGACTGTCTCAGATTACGTTATGTTGTCGACGATTTATGTTTGAAGCTTCATTTTTCAACTTTAAATGCAGAAATAATTTACTTTTCTTTGTTCATTGGTTATGTAATAATGACAATTTATTTATATCATTTGATTTATTATATTATCGTTTATTTTTCATTTATTTATTTATTTTTGTGGTGGTGATTTCTTTTTCAGTTTTCAGTTCTCAATAATATGATTGTGCGCGTTCCATCAAACAAAGTTAAGAGACGAAAAAGAAAGGGGCCTATTACGTTTGCAGGATTTAAGTTAGTACCTGTTTTAAACGCAAATTAATAAGTTCCTGATATGCCGGACAGATGTTTAATTTCCCATTCTGATAATTTCTCCAAACTACAAAAATCAAAATCCAGTTTCTGATAAAATCTTAAATGTTCATATATTTAAGAATACACCATAAAATGTAATAAAAACAAACTGTTAAAGATGTTTTAAACCATGGTGTAGATAAGTGCACAGTACGCCAAAATCTGATATCACTGATATATGAAATATTAGCATTTTGATATAGCACCAACGGTTGACGGATGATACAAACCTAAGTGAATTAGTACATTTGTTACTATAAATAGTTACAAGTTTGACTATGATTTCGACTGATTATGAATATCACGTGACCCATTATGAGTTAGCGACCCGGGGCCGAATAAATTAAAGTCATAATCGTCCTGCTGACAACAAGCTCTCGGGGTAAAGCCGACTATTACCTTCCGGCCCTACTCTGTCGTGTATTAACATGTTAATTATTGGTCTCAAATGTGGTTCAAAGCATTGAATAAGGTTCATATGTTTTGAAGGCAATTTAAACTTATAATTTTCTAAAAGTAGATTAAAGAAAATAAAATAAGTTAATTGCATGTCTTTATCATCAAAAGTTACAAAAACTAAGGCGTCTGAACGCTTACTGTTAAAGTTTTAAATAGACACCATAGATTCCATTTTACAGCTAAAACTGTCGAAGGTTTAAAGTACATCTATATCACAAGCCTTGATTTAATCTCAGCTTGTAATGTATTAAAGGAAATAGTTTTTTTTCTGCAAATAATGTCAAATGAAACAAGACATTTTTATTCTCATAACACTTGTGGCTAACATATGCAAGGTAATGCAATGTATTTAAATTTATGTTAAGGAAAAAATATAAATATGCCGGAAATATATAAAGAACAGTTTTAATTTTGCCTATATGTCTAAATGGAAACTCCCGAAAGAGTCCTAAAGAATGATAATTATCAAAAGAAAATATTTATTGTATCTTTTAACCCGTATTGACGTATCCAAAAAAGGTTTACCCATAATCCCATACATTTCCACTATTAAATCCATTTCTTATAATTTTATTCGTATTTACAATTATAAGTGATCTCGTTATTTCAGACAAAATTTATAACTCCATAATGAGATCATTAAAGCCATGTAAAATAATTTGTGGGGGGAACTGGTTGAACAGATGTTAAATATCTGAAAAATTTATTAATATTATAACTAGAAAGAGAAAGAACTTAAATATCTGAGAAACGTGAGCCCAGAATTCCTTTACACACACATTATGTCCCGAAAATAAATCAGTTTTACTTCTAAAGAACGGGTAAATATGAATTTATAATTTTTCAGTAGTGGTTTAAGACCATATTAAATGCTTGTTACCTGAAAAAAGATGCAAAAGAAGTGAAATAATTTGGCATAAAAAAGTGAAATGTAAACAATTTAGTATTTTTACTTCCATACAAAATAATAATTCACTATAACTGTACTAATTGTCAGAAAGTAACAGATGAACAAGATGGTTCAGGTAATTGGCCAACGCGTAACATTTTGGACACCAAATTAAAAAGCTTTTGAAAAATAAAAACACAATCATTTCAGGCATAATTTACCTTTAACTAAACATTAGACGCGTAACTATTTGAGAAATATCCTTTATTCTATTTCACTCATTTAAGAAAAGCCAATGAGATTTTTAGATTTCAGTCTGTAATTTCAAACTGCCCAATGTAAATTTTGCTTGTATTCAGTTCTTTTATGTAAAATTTACAGGAAGTCAAATTGATTTCAAAAGACCTTTGGCCGAAAACAATTGTGTACGACTTTCTAAAAAACAAAATATTGAATAGGGTTGAACTTCTTCCGTTAATTATTATCATTTGCGATTTATTGTCTTTACTTGTGTTACGTGACAACGACAGTTTTGTGCACGTGTTTGTTTTGAATGCATGTTATTGTGTAAGTCATTTACATAAACTATTCCTAACATTCCGGACAAAGTCGAGCTTGCGATTTACTTACAATTGTACAAAGACCACTTGTCACCACTACCAAAACTGACGAAGATAAAAACAAACTATTCATTTACAATACTTTCCATTTTTCGATCACAAAATCTAAGTTTACTTTATCGAACGTTTATTGTTGTTAAAATGACGACATTTGAAATATGCTTATTAAAACTTATAAATTACTTTAAATAAATAAAATCGAAGTGTATAAAATAGTAACATACCGGCGCTATAGACCAGTTTCTGTCGTCTGCACGATATATCAGGGATACCCACTGATGCCGTATTTATATATAACCTGTACTTTACGTCATATTATACCAACAGCGCGTCTATGTTTTACGCATAAACCATAAATGGGCAGAGCCTTGCAAAGCAATTAGCAAAAAAAAGTATCAAAACTCCTATCTGATTTGTACGAGGTGGCGTAGAATAGATTTGAGATGACAAAACGGCCTTAATATATAAATAATAGAGCGCTGGCCTAGATGAAGTAAGCGACTTTATGACAGTTATGAGATTACGATCGGATTACAGTAAGTAATAGAAAGAGCATCGAAACACGAGGCTATCTGATTAGTACGAGGGGGCGTAGCCCTCGAGTATAAATCAGATTGTCTAGTGTTTTAATGTTCTTTCTCTTTTGTATCATAGTCAAACATAAAAACACGTTCCCTGATACCACAATGTGAAACCCCACAAAAAAGTAACCAATGAACGAACATCTGAATATGATATTTCCATCGCTATCCCTTTATCTGTCGTCACAATATGTAAACCTCGGACAAAATGAACCAATCAATGGATATGCTCCGGAGTGCGGGTAACTAATACCTGCACTCCAGTTAACGCACTGTGCATGTATATGTATACGATTTAACTCTGTCACATTTTCAACAGAAAGGTCCCCAAACTATGATACAAGAAATCATTGTATCATAGGCCCGTATTTAGAATCAGTACTGACACTCACACTCATTGAGTAAATCCCATATAATTGCCTTACGGTCAAGACAGTCCTCGATCAACCTTTCGGTAAAGTTGTATTCAGATTATTAAGTAAGTGTCGAGTGTACTTTTCTATTGAAAACGTGTCAGAGCTAAATCTTATATATGCACAGTGCATTAGCTGGAGTGCAGGTATCAGTTACCCGCACTTCAGAGCATACCCGTTGATTGGCTCATATTTTCGTGAGTTTACATATTTTGACAACAGAGAAAGGGACAACGATAGAAATCAAAGCACAGAAGGCGCTGAATTTGTTTGGGTCTCAGAATGTAAGAAAGGTGCAGGTTGTGAGATTATATGTTCAGTGCCACCAATGCTTTCCAGCGTTTTAATTGTAGTAAATTGGCTATAAGACTAATTGCAACACTGATATTCAATCCAATGTTTATTTGACTTTAACAATTTAAAAAAAATGAGTTACCTTTACTGGGATTTGAACTCCAGACCTCTCGCTTCCTAAGCGAGCCCGAAAACCCTTCAGCCACGGTTAAATTTATATGTGAACGGCCTGAAGAAAACCATATTATTCTAAATTAGGGCTTGTAACGACTTTTAACTGTTGTTTAACACAGATGTAAATAATCCTGAA